AGATAGAGACAGAGAGACAGAGATAGAGACACAGAGACAGAGACAGAGACAGACAGAACCCACAGGACTGCATTTTCAGGCCAGAAGGCGCTGCTGTGAAAGGTAATTTACTGTTGCAAAATATCAATTTAAAATAAAGAAAATGTAGAGAACCACTGCACTGTAATTGCTTCCAACCGTCTTTGCAGCTTGGTTTTTGTCTTGCGAGGCATAGTTACAAATCTTAGAAAAATCTTGTGCATAATCATTCCTTGGAGTTAAACTCTACAGACTGACAGTATTAAATGATTTTCCTTGAGTCACAGAATATTTTGCTTTGTCGTGGAAGCTGGTGAAGTGTGCAGGTCTTTTTTCTTTGGGCTGTTCACCATCCAGGTGTTTGACTAACAGCATTACCTTCTAATTGTGAAAAAATACATTAACACATCTTATTTTTGAAAAAGACAGGTATAATCCACCATTGTGATTCATTGTTTCTCTATGTACAGCCACTTTCTCAGCACAACGATTGATTGATGGAGGGACAATGTAGGTCAGGCTGGCCTTGAACTCCCAATGTGTAGCCCAGGCTGGCCTCAATTTGGTGATCCTCCTGATTGCTAGGACTAGAGACATATGCCACCGTGCCCTCTGGGCTTTCTTTTTTTCTTTTTCTTTTTTCTTTCTTTTTTTTGCAGAACCAGGGATTGAACTCAGACCTTGCGCTTGCCAGGGAAGCTCTTATTCTACCGAGCCATCTCCCTGGCCCTTGTTTATTTATTTATTTATTTATTTATTTATTTATTTATTTTTGCGGTACCAGAGCTTGAACTCAGGACCCTGTGCTTGACAGGCAAGCACTGACTCTACTGAGCTGTCTCCCTGGCCCCTCTCTTAGCACAATGAGAAGAAAGATTCGTACTCGTATTGTTTAGACATCATGTCTACATCTTATCCTCCTCTGAATAACCACTACGAAGACAACAATACGCAATGTATTAATTATTGTAAATGTCCTACTAACCTGTTTTGAAACTGTTTCATTGCTATTTTATCTTTTTTCTCATTAAAATGAATAAAAGATTTTTAAAAATTCACTGTTTCTTTTTTAAAATTTTCTTTTTTTAAGACAAGGGATCTTGCTATGTAATTCTGGCTAGCCTTGAACTCACTATGTAGCTCAGACTAGCCTCAAATTCATGGCAATCTTCCTGCCTCAGCCTCCCAAATGCTGGTATTGCAGGCCACAATTCACTATTTAAAACATCCAATCCAGTGTATTTTAATGCGCGCAGGGAGCTGGATGGCCGCTAGTGTGTCAGGTTTGGCACGTCTCATCACCCTGAGGAGGCCAGCCGGTCTCCAGGCCCTCTCTCCTCGGCCGACAGCTGCTAAGCCACCTGCTGTCCTTGTGTGTGTGCCTTCGTTGTACTTTGTATTAGTTGAATCGCATCGGTAAATGTGATCTTCGGTGGCGCATTTTTATTCGCGGCGTGCACGAGCGCTTTATGCTGCAGCCTCAGTCTGTTCGCAGCTTCTGGTCACACAGCACCGGAGAAACCTGCAAGGAAAGGGGTTCCCAGGGGCCCTTGGCAATGGAGGGGCTGCGTCCAGCGACAGCCCTTGTGCTGTCCCGGGACAGAGCAGGGTGTCAGGGCAGAGGCAGGAAGCCTGGGCGGGGTTCATTCACCCTGTCTGTCTGTCTGTCTGTCTGTCTGTCTGTCTGTCCTTGCCTCTGTCTCTGTCTCTCTCCTGCTCTGTTTCTCTGTCTCTGCCTCTCCATCTCTCTGTCTCTTTCTCTGTCTCTCCATTACTGTCTCTCCCTGTCTCTGCCTCTCTGCCTCTCCGTCTCTGCCTCTCTGTCTCTGTCTCTCTCCTGCTCTGT